TTAGTTATAATGAAGCAGGTCCCATTTCCAAGTAACTATGAGCCCTATGACTATACATGTAGATACACCTTAGAATGCACAATACCAGGCTCGCTTCGGATGCTGGATCTTACGGACATTTTTCGGATGGTTAAACAGGTTAAAGGTTCTGGAACAAGTCTTATTTCTAATTTACTATGAGTCCTTTAACGACAAACTTGCATATCTGATACATCAAAGGAGGCATACTACCAAGATTGCTTCATATACTGGATCTGACCTACCTTATACTGGATAAGTCAACAAGTTAAATTTTGCTGCAGGTCTTATTTCTAAGTAACTTTAAGCCCAATATTGAGCAAACTTACAAGATCATAACATCTAAGGGTGCACATTCAGATGTTGAATCTAACATACATTTACCATTTAATAGGCCAGATAAAAGTGTTTGATGCATATCTATTTCTAATGAACCATAAGGCCTATCTGAACCAAATTTGCATAGATGATGCAGAACTTTAAAGGATGGACACTCTCAAACTTGCTTCGGATGCCATATAAAAACTTGAATTATAGAGGCAAATCATTGTACAAATTGCTACATCCTACTTATAAGGAATCATAGTTATAAGGTAAATTTCCTGAATCTTGGAGATCAAGTCTTTTCGCTATAATCCTTACCGTTAAATATAAAAAATTCGAATAGTAAAAAGCAAATTTTAAACTTCCTGTGACTTCTTTCAAGCCAAGTTTTTTTTATGCCCCCGTAAACGAAGTTTCGGGGGCATATAGTTTTTGTCGTGTCCGTCTGTCTGTCTCTCTGTTTCTCTAGATCTGTCTCTCTGTTTGTCTGCAAAAACTTTAACCTTGCCTATAACTTTTGATTTAGTGGAGCTATGACATTTATATATCACATGTGTATTCCTTGTGACAAGAACTTCTTTGGGTACCACCAAATTTAACCTTGGAGTTTGACCCACCTTTACACAAAAATTTTGAACTTTTACTTTGGCCATATCTTTTGAACAATAGATACCAGGACATTTATATTTCATGTAAATATTCTTTGTGGTAAGACCTTTCATTGGATACCAACATCCTTAACCTTTTGACCTTGGAAATTTTTGTACCTATGAAAAAACTTTAAACTTGGCTATAACTTTTGAACAATAAGTACTACGACTTTCATTCTTCACATATATAATCCTAATGAAAAGATCTTATTTTGGATATCTTGACCGTTTGACTTTGACCTTTGAGTTTGACCTACTTTAAAATACAACATTGACCATAATTTTTGAAGGGTTCGGGATAGGGCATTCATACTTCGCAAATTTAATCCTAGTGGCAAGACCTTTCATTTGATATCAAGACCTTTGACCCTTTGACCTTGGAGTTTGACTTACTTTTAACAAAAATTAACCTTGACCATACGTTTTGAACAGTAGAGGCTAGAGCTTTTATATTTCACATGTGTAATCCTTGTGACAAGACCTTTCATTGGATATCAAGAATCTTGACCCTTTGACCTTGACCTTGGAGTTTTACTTAATTTTTACAAACTTTAACATTGATCAGAACTTTTGAACAGTAGGGGCTAGAGCTTTCATATTTCACATGTGTAATCTTTGTGACAATACCTTTCATTGGATATCAAGAATCTTGACCCTTTGACCTTGACTTTGAAGTACTTTCTACAACCTTGACCATAACTTTTGAACAGCGAGGGCCAGCGCTTTCATACTTCCCATATGTAATATTTGAGACAAAGCCTTTCTTTAGAACCCATGCAACAACCTTGACCCTTCACCTTGAAATGGAGTTTGTCCTATATTATAAAATGTTAACCTTGGTCATAACCCTGGAACAGGTGTAGCTAGCGTTTTATATTTGGCATTTCTTGTGAAAAGGCCTTACTTTGTTACCAACATATTTGATCTGCATTTGAGAAAGCTTAACCTTCGCTATGTTGCCATACGGGGGCATCAGTGTTTCACAAACACATCTTGTTTATTGTATAACTATCCAAACAAAAAAAACTTGATAACAAAGTAATATTGTTTACTTACAACTACTTAGAAGTTATAACACAATTTTTTTTGTTGGCAACAATGCTTACAAATAACTTTGTGTGTTTTAAAAAATAACTTACACATGTATGATGAATATAATATATCAGAATATAGACTAATAATTAAATCAATAAAATAAGGACATCAAACCACTTTGTATTAAATACATCATGTATGTTAAATACTGGTCTTAAAAGATGAACAGTGATGAAGTCTACCATGAAAACATTGTCTCTAAAATTTGTGTAGATCAATGGGAATTATTTAAGTTAGGACAAAATAGATAGGCCATATTTTTCCTCAAATTCATTTTTTTCTGAAACTTTAATATTTTTTTCTAGGAAACAAATCTCTCTTAATATATAATATGAAAGAAATTCAACTGCACATTTTTTGCCCACATAGTCTGAAATATGGTCTGTCAGACCCCTGTAAGAAGATTGCGAAATCAGACACTTGACTTGAGAATGTGCCTTATTTTAGAATTTATGCAATTGATCTATTGCAAGTTTGTGTTATAATTTTGATAGTGAAGATAACCTATTTGTTACTTAGTTAGTCATATGGATACTGGACCATTTGAGAAAAATATTAAGTCAAAATAGAACATACATCATGTACATAGAGTCAGTATTGAAAATTCACATGTAAATATCCTACACTTTTAAAAAGTAAATATCCTACACTTTAAGTAAAGAAAAAAAAATACAATGTTATTTAATTTTTGCAAAAAATTAACAGAATGATAAAAATGGGTCCCAGAAAAAAAATGTGTAAAATTAAAGAAAACTGAAGCGGTAGTTCAGGGGATGACAAATCCCATTGCCGGATACCCAATACTAGTGAATTTTAGGGTTGGGCAAGTGAAATTTTATCAACTACTTGCCCGTGGGCAAGTGACTTAATCAAATATCAAAAATAAAATCAATATGTATGCAAATATTCTACTCATTATTTTTTTTATATATATATTTATAAATACAGTATAAGTTAATGGTAGGGCAGGCAAAAATTCAGGTAGGGCAAGTGAATTTTGACCATGTACTTGCCCTTGGGCAAGTGCCTTTAAAATCTATTTGTCAGCCCCTGTAGTTTCTGATATTTTTGTGATTAAAAAATTTAAATGGCAAAAAAATAAAAGATTCAGTAGATGACGTCACAATATTTGACCTCTGACCTCTTGATATGACCATGACCTGTATAGTACACAAAGATCGAAGATTCCTTGTATGTGTGACCAAATATGGGCTCTCTACTATTTATTGAACAAAAGTTACACTGCATTTTATATCAAACTGTTATATGCTTGTTTATTGCACTTAGATAGTGTAAACACATTCCAAAATATAAACTCCCAAGTGACCAACATATAGGATTCTCTGATTTTTCACAAAATATGTTGCAATCATGCCAAAACTTGTTATTCTTCTTACAGGGGACATTCATTGTTGTCAATTTAGTTAATAAAAAATTTTTCCCCAGTATTTTTTAAGAATTTAGTAAAAATAAAGTGCCACGCCACAGCATGATACGCCCTTCAAAAAATTACAATTATCTTAAACAATCAAAAGTGCAAGAAAATCATGTCAACCTTGATTTCAGATTTCCATGATTTTTAAACTCCTTAAAAAATTTGTTTATCCATTTCCTGTGGTGTAGGCATTAATTATAACATATACATGTATTGCATCATTCATAGATTTCTATACTGGTTGTGTTAGACCTTGCCAAATGCCTATCATATTAAACAATATCAAATTAGGCTTAACAACTTAATCTATACCTAATTAATTTTGAAAATGAAAGGCTGGCCATCAAATATAAAATGACCAACAGTTCTTCTGTCTAATTCCCAAAGGATACACTGTCAGTTAAGATAATGCTCTGAAGAAATAATTGAGACAGCTATAGCCTTGCTACATTGAACATATTAATTAATCTTTAACTGGATGCTTGTCTACTCATTACTCCCAAGAGATTATTGGATCTGCACTATCTACCATAAAGCATTTTTAAAACATATAAAACCTCAATGATTTTTTTTGTTAGATTTAATGGCAGACAGGTTTTAATATGCAATTCATATGGACATGCTGATTCCACCCCACCCCCATAAAATTAGTTTTTTAAATTTCATAATTTTATGTAATATCAAAACAGTTTATTATGCAAAATCAAATTAGTTTTATTTACTTCTCATCAAATTCATTTTAAAACTTATGCTAGCCAACAAGAGCTATTTTTAATCCAACAGGATTACCCATTTGGCCCAATACTCAAGGGATATAGATAGCACCGATGCTCTTCCTCACACTAAACTCATTAATTTCTCGCTCTGATTTGACATGCAATTTTCTGTTATCAAAATTCTTCTTGACCAGTGCTTGATAATTAAACTCATGGGAGTGGTGGAATTTCTTTAACATACATTACATTTGTTATAGATTGCTGTCAAGTATATGCTAAAAAAAATAAGTATTTTTCTTGATTTAACATTTTTCTAATGAGGATAGTGCAATACTTTTACATTTTTTGGAGTGTGTAAATGAAGAGAAAAAAAGACATTTTTTTTAAAAATTTCACTTAAATTAAAGGTCACAGTGACCTTTGAAATAGGTCGCGACACACCCTCTACCTAAGATGCATGAAGTGGCCAAGTTTGATGATTCTAAGTCTAATAGTTTTCAAGTTATGGACCGGACAGGATTTTTCCATATTTGGCTATAACTTTTTAATTATAGGTCAGAGCGACCTACTTTTTGTGCGCGACACACCTTCTACCCAAGATGTATCAGCTGACAAAGTTTGATAACTCTAGGCCTTATAGTATTCAAGTTATGAGCCGGACACGAGAAAAGCTAACAGACGGACGGACGGACAGACGGACAGACAGACGGACATGAAGCCTATAACATAATACGTCCCGTCTTAAGACGGGCGTATAATAGAATCCAGGGGTGTTTTGTACTACCTTAAATGATACTGATTGATGAAGATAAAATGCATAACTTACTACATGTATATTTATCAACACAGATTGATTATGGGTACAGTGTCATGTTAATCAACATGGGTCAATGCCAAAAACAATATTGTGACATTCCACACAAATTGACATCAACAAAAAATGTCAGTTCACACAGATCAATGTCAATTTCACACCAATATGACACCATGTCATATCATCCCCACAGATCTGTGTTAACACAATATGGCTTTATTCCACACCATCTGATGTGGGTAAGAGTTGTTCATGTTTTTTGGCGTGTCTCCTACAAGCAGAAGAGTCAGCGAAAGCCTTATCACAAACCTCACATTTATACGGTCGTTCCCCAGTGTGGCGGCGGAAATGTTTTCTCAAGCTGTCTTTGAGAACGAACGTCTTCTCGCAGACCTCGCACCTGTGTGGACGCTCACCCGAGTGTATCTTCATGTGTCTCTGTAGAAAGCCCGAGTCAGTGAACGCCTTCCCACAAATACAGCACACAAAGGGCTTCACGTCAGAGTGTGTGCGGATATGCTTGGTGACGTATTTAACCTGGTTGAAGGCTTTTCCACAGATGTGGCAATGATGTGGCTTGTAGTTAGTGTGAGTCCGTTTGTGGATCTGAAGCTGGTGTGCGTACGTGTAGGCCTGCTCACACTGATCGCACTGGTAAGGCTTTATCTGCCCGCCCAGGTGTATCTGTACGTGTCTGTTCAGAGAAGAAGACTGGGCAAACGATCGTCCACAGTGGTCACATACAAACGGCTTATCACCAGTGTGAATACGAACGTGCCTAGTCAGATCACTGGAGTGGCTGAAACCTTTGCCACACTCTGTACAGATGTATGGCTTATCCCCTGTATGTGCTCGCATGTGACCCTGTAACGTTGATGTCTGATTGAAAGCTTCACCACACACGCTACACATGAAGGGTTTCTCTCCTGTGTGTATGCGGATGTGTCCCTCTAGATTCGCCCGGCGATCAAAACACTTTCCACAAGTTTCACACTTATATCGATCTTTGTTTTTGTGCTTTCTCATGTGAGACTGGAAAGTGCTTTTACGAGAGAAGGTCTTATTACAGAGTTTACAAATGTAAACATTGTCCTCTAACACCTCTTGTGATTGGACAGATAATTCTCCATTGTCTTCTAACACTCCCTGTGATTGGATAGATAATTCTCCAGTGTCTTCTAACACCTCCTGTGATTGGGCAGATAGTTCTCCATTATGTTTCAGATCATCAACTTCCTCTATGAGCTGATTCATCTCAGATTCACAATTCACAGAATTATAGGAATCATCCTCAGATGACATCAATAATTTTCTATTCTGTTTTTCTCCTTCACTTTTCTTCACACCAACAGCATTTTTAATGAAAGATTTCTTTTCCTCTACTAAGTGACTGGCGTCCAATTGTCCATCTACTATTTTATCTTCCTCTGCATCATTTTCACTTGACACATCCTGTTCATCATCATCATCATCATCATCATCATCATCAGGTGTAAGATGATTGATGATTTTCTTCTTTGTGTCTCTTGATGATTTTTCATCTTTTTCACTTGACAAAATTTGTTCATCATCATCTTCATCATTATTCTCATCATCACTCTCATGAAAATAATGGTTGATTTTATCCTTTGTTTCTGTTGATGATGTGTTTCCCTCTTTATTTTCAGTTGACATAATAACTTTATCATATTGATCATCACTTGAATGATTGCAAATTTTCTCCTTTGAGTATATTGATAATTTAACTACTTCTTCTTCATTTTCACTAGACATGTTTTGTTCATCGTCATCATGAGCCAGATGATTGTGAATTTTCTCCTTGGACTCTTCCAATGATTTGTCTACTTCTTCTTTGTGTGCAATGTTCCTTTTTTTCATCACTTCTGCAGAATCACAAGAATACTCATCAGACTTTTGGTCCATCATCCTTTGAATTTTGAAGCTTCAATAAATATCTTAACAGTTTTCAGAAGCACCTGCAAAAAATATATTTATACATATTTCAAAAGAAAAAATTTATAATAATTCAACCTTAAACATGTTAAATAATACCTTATTTCTTAAATATCACATGTGGTTTAAAAAGATGGATTTGATAGTTAAAAACTGAATATCATGAATATAGACATAAGTCAGACCAAAAAAAAATAATAGCCTAGTTTCCTGCTACCATCCTGAAAAAAATAAGGTTGGTAAGAAGGAAAATTATTATTTTTCTTGTTCTATTTTTTCCAGTGGTATTTTTGGGATGTAAACTAATACGTACAAAACCATATAAAACATGTCATATAGGTTATAGGTCAGTATTATATTTTAAAATATTTTAAAATTAGATACATGTAATATCAAATCTTTACATACAGTTTCATGATTTTAATGTCACCTGATTATATTTTTTCTTCCCTTTTTGAAAATGAAATTCCAAAATTTTTCTCTCCAATTAACTTGAAAAAAAACTTGAGGCTCAGGTGCAAAAAAATAGGGTAGGTTTTGGCCTTACTGTCTTACTGTTTGCAATTATGCAAAATGAATTCTGAGTAAATCAGTTTTAAACAGACAAATAGCTGCAGAACTATAGCTCTCTGAAAAAAAAAATATATCGATAGAGAGCTACAGTTCTGGAGCTTAAGTTTTAGAACTGTAGCTCTTCGAAAAAAAATATTGACAGACCGGAGAGCTACAGTGCCACCCATTGTAAAACTGTATATTCATTGTGCACAAAAAGTTGCGCTTAGTTCTAGATTTATTCTTCCAAATTCTTACCTAAATCGCAAAAAATATATTATTTCTTTAAATTAATTCCTTACTCCTCTGTCAAGTAATCTCGTAGTTGACATCTGCACAAAGTGCGCTGGCCAAATTATCCTGCAAACCAAAATGGCAGTATAAATAGACGGCAATTTTGATGATCTCAAGGCCAGGAGGTAGTTATTAATATTAATCAGGAATGTTTTGTTGTGGAAACAGTGAAAAAATTAATCCGAGATTCCTCCAACTCTAACCCCCGCTTCTATATTATGACTTATATGGGAGAGTCAGAGCGGACGCCAGGGCTCTCACACCACTTTTTGGGACTGGGGCCGGGGCCATTCATATTGGGAAAATTATCCTCATATAGGGAATAGTTGGATAACCAAAATTCATTTAAAAAATCCTCAAATTTTGCTTTTCTAGCATTTTGTCATCAATTTAACTCTGCATGGTTTTGAATAAACAGTTGAACAGAACAAACATGGGTACATAGGCTATCTATGAAAGTACATAAATAATGTTTTTTGTCGAAACTACATGACAAGAGACTTTGCACTCATAGTTGGTACACATTCTCGTAAAAACAATAACCTGGTTCCCCAAAACAGTTCAAAGACAAATGAAGCATCACTTGAATTTGGTCGTCTCCTCGCCATTTGACTTCTTTGCGCATGACGTCAGCACACAAATTATACACAAAATTCAATTCATTTTGAAAGTAACATGTGCTCAAAACAAGTGTGTGGCTTTTGGAAAAATATGAAAGTGTTGTGAAAAAACACATAAATGCATTCCCCCGCACAAGTCATAATATAAAAGTGGGGGTTAGAGTCAGAGGAATCTCGGATTATGAAAAAATATGTAAGGATCACATGGTAAGTAATATTTTGAGATGCCACTTTTAGAAACATAGTGAAATAAATCAATAAACAACGCACTTTTTTGTGCGCAATAAAAAGATAGAGTTTCTATGCCCTGTTCACACGGAGAGTTTAATTCGCAGTAAATTAATGCAAAGTAAACTAATGCAAATCAAACTAATATGAATTAAATTGCATTCACACGACAGCTAATCATGCTAATGCGAAGTAAACTTCTAAGCCAATTAAAATTTTGTTTCTGCAGCCCAGGGTCAGCACGGCTATTATGACGTCATTAGCAAATCACGTCACCTGATGCTGACGCAGATCCTTTGACATAATGGCAAAGTGTCTGTATACACATTTTAATGATTAACAAAATTTTCCTTAGTTTTCCACTCAAAAATAGCACAAGTACCTATAGCTGACCACCGACAAGTGGCATTTGACTAAATTTTGCCATTACGCATGCGTCATATTTTGCTAGCTTCGGTTAGCGTTAATTCACACGGAGCTAATGCGAAGTAATTTATAATGCGCAGTAAACTAATTCGAAGTAAACTAATTTGCATTACATTCTCCGTGTGAACGCTAAGCGAAGCTAATTCGCAGTAAACTTACGTTTAATTCGAATTAAACTCTCCGTGTGAACAGGGCATTACAAATGGCTCTGTAGCTCTCCGGTCTGTCAATTTTTTTTTTTGGAGAGCTACAGTTCTGCAGCTAGTTTTTTTTTTTTTTTTTTACAGCTGTTTTACATCAATTTAAACAAATTCAGAGTGTAAAAAATATACCTACAGTACCTTTAAGAATAGCAGTCACACTGAAACAATGTAAAATAAAAAAAAAAAATCATTCATTGAACATTGTCACCGACATTGTGTTTTCCTTTCACAAAGAAAAATATTGTTTGTATCTCGATCTCGATTTTACTGAACATCGATGTCAAATAAGTTGAAATAACTCAGTCTTTTCTCCCTTAAAATATGCTTAATAACAAATAATGCTGATACTGTTTCTTTTGTGTGTATTTCTATAATGTTATCACTAATTGGATTAGTTCTTAGGCATTCAATTTTTCTTTAAAAAGTCGGGTTCGTGATGCAAAATGAAAGCTCAAAAGGCGACAGGATAGTTGTGAGGCATGTTTCAGGTACATTTGTGTTTAACTTTATTATTATGATGATTTATGTTAATTTGTACATAGAGAAAAATGATGTTATATGTATTCAAGAGTCTTAATCATTAAGTTAATGCACAGTCTTGATTGGTTAGCACTGGTGAATGTCAGACTGCTCGGCCCAACGACACCTCGGCCCAACGATACCTTGGCCCATTGACACCTCGGCGCCGACGGCTCGTCCCAAATTTGCAGACACCTCGGCTCACATAAAAGACACCTCGGCCCAAACAGAAATACACATGTATAATATTTTAATTAAATATATTTATTATTTATGCTGTTATATATCTATGAAATGCAGAAGAAAATTAATTTGATACATTTGCAATCTTTCACACGACAGCAAATTGACGGTAATTAAAGAAAGAAAATCCATTAGTAACTTGATCATAAGTGCTAATCATTAAATAAACAAGAAGACGCATGTCATGTGGGACTGGTGACTATGAGGAGTTAAAATTTTACGAGAAGCCATAATTGGGAGACTTACTCATCTTAATGAAAAGTTCTTTTAAGAAACCCTTGTTGATATTTTATTGAATTGATTTGAAAAAAAATATGAGTTTTTAAAATTAAGCAGTAAAATATATATATAAAAAATAAACAAATCAATAAATCTTGCAAACCAGGGCATCAACTTATGTGTAGACCTATTACATGTACCTCCCAATGAACGGATTGTAATTTGATATTGTGCTGTGGATTGTTAGAAAATACTGAAATATTGAAATTATCGTTATATTTATCGCATACGTATAGTGATTAAATATACATAGTAGACATTTACATTACCGAGGCATAGAAAGTACAAAAAAGAATTAAACTAATTTAAACAAACTAAATTTAATATTATTCCTAACGGGCCGAGCAGTCTTCGGTATGGGCCAAGGTGTCAATGATTTTGAGCCGACCTGTCAGGGCCGAGGTGTCAACTAGCACGGGCCGAGGTGTCGTTGGGCCGAGTAGTCTGTCTACTGCACTGGTGCATGTGGACAGTATATAATCATAATGCTGCATTGTCCCTATTTGCCCACCTCCCAGCGATAGACGGACATCACGGCCAAACAACTCCTCGGCCCGTGACGGTTGACACCTCTGCCAAAACAGGTTGGCCCAAAATCATTGACACTACGGCCCATATGAAAGACACCCCCACCATCAGACCATGCATTTGCCACAGCAAAATTTTATGATCAATAGAAAAAATTAATTCAACCATTAATTGATTTTATGTTTGTTAGCCTTTAGACACAAATTAATGCATTCACCCTTGACGCCATCCACTCTTTTTCTTATTCACACAGAGTTCGCTCTTAAATGAGTTTGCACAAAGTTTATTTGTTCCCGAATAATATTTCAGTCAATTAATTTTCAAAATTTCCTCTTTTCCTCTATTGATTTTATTGATTTTCATGAGTTTTTGTTTTAATCATAATATTAATTTATTTTTCTTTAACATTCAGAATATGTGGTTGAAGAAATTTAAAAAAAAAAAAAATTGTAAAAGTAATCTATGTGATATGCAATAATTTTAAAGGTACTTAGACACAGATTTGAAGTTAATTTTTTCTGCATAATATCACGAATTATATATTTTAATAGCATTTCACTCAAAAATTAATTAAAAATCTTATTTCATTTAAAAGTTATTAAAACTTTTTATTTTTTGGCGGGTTTGATTGACACATCCTTTCACTAGCTTTCACAATTTTTAACTTTATTCTTAATCCTTAGGAAAAGTGGCAATCTTGTTTTGTATTAATGAGAAACATTAAAACTTAAATCCGGAAAATAATTTTATTTAGAGTAAAAATGTTAGAAAGCAAAACTCCTTCACAAGTATTGTCATTCCGTTGTGTACAGAGTTTAGCAAATCGAGCACACTCGTGTTATGTACACAGTTTGTGTAAACAGCGCGAAAGCTTTGTTATTGTTTGGTGTTTTGATTCACCGGGTGCGTTTAAACGCCAAAGTCTGCTCACAACAACTACACGGACTGACAATATATTGTGTGTTTGTTTTGCTTTCCAACATGTCAACTCTGAATTTTCTGGATTATAGTATTAATATTTTTCATTAATAAACAACAAGAATGTCAATTTTCCTAAGGATTAAGAATAAAGTTAAAATTTGTGAAAGTGCAAAGATGTGTCAATCAAACGCGCAAAAAAATTAAAATTTTAATAACTTTTAAACGAAATAAGATTTTTCATTAATTTTTGTGTGAAATGCTATTAAAATATATAAGTTGTAATATTATAGAAAAAATATTAACATCAAATCTGTGTATACAATTAAAAATGTTCACATTAAAATTATTAAATTAAGATCAATTGAAAAAATTAACTTCAACCATTGGTTTTATGCATTTAAATTCAAAGTAATAAAATCTGTGGAAAATTAGTTTGAACAAACTAATTAAAGGACAAGATAGGGTAAAAATCTGGCCCCTTATTTGATGTAAAAATCACACAGATAGTTTGTAGTCTTAAATGAGTTTGCACAAAGTTTATTTGGAAGCCACTAGAATAATATTTCAGTCAATTAATTTTCAAAATTTCCTCATTTCCTTTATTAATTTTATTGATTTTCATAAGTTTTTGTTTTTAAAATATATAAATTTGATTATTCTTTAACATTCAGAAAATGTGGTTGTAAAATTTAAAAAAAAAAATGAGAAATTGTAAAAGTAATCTATGTGATATGCAATAATTTTAATTAAAGCCATATATGTGGCAGTGTGTGCAATTTTTATGAAAATTATTAAAGACATAAATTTATAAGAATTATTATTTGTATCATTACTTTATATAACCCAGACAGCAACTTTTATAAATTCACAGGGACCTAAGAAAACTCTATATCAATTGCTTTAACCTATATGACATTTTAAATTTATATAGCTGGGGATTCAAGATGACTTTTCTATGTCATGTGAAGAATATCCGCATACAAAAGATTTAAATAACACATTACAGATAAAATTGTATTTTTAGATGAGATGAGGTGTTCTCCGTGTAAAGTAAAGAAAAAAGAAAGAAATGACTTCAAATTGAAACATAAATGTTGACATAAAATATTTACTATAGGGCAATCGAGATACATTGTGAATAGAATACAGGGCAAACAAGAATTATGGCAAATAGACCCTGCACAAAGGGACTCATACCAACATCCTATTTTAATTTTAAATTGCTTTTCCTTGATTAGCTCCCCCTTTAAAAGGTTTTTAGCACTTCATTATCCCTTTTATACAGTGATACTTTTACAATCCTTGGATAAAACTACGCCAGTGGTTCTTTTTAAGAAGTTTAAAATGTGAAAAAGTTGATAGACGGCAGACAAATGATTGACAGACAGACGGATAACGGACAAATGACTGATAGATGGACGGATTACGGACAAATCACTGATATATGGACAGATTACGGACAAATCACTGATAGATGGACGGGTTACGGACAAATCACTGATAGATGGACGGATTACGGACAAATCACTGATAGATGGACGGATTACGGAGAAATCACTGATAGATGGACGTATTACGGACAAATTACTGATAGATGGACGTATTACGGACAAATCACTGATAGATGGACGGATTACGGAGAAATCACTGATAGATGGACGGATCACGGAGAAATCACTGGTTAGAATCGTACAGTAGGATGTGGAGGCCGTTCCTTCAGATGAGACTGTATAAAATGTGTCCCCAGCATGTTCATGATTTAATTTTATAAATTTTAACAATTTTTTTGTGTTGCATGTATTTATGTCTGTAGTATTTAAATATTACTTGTCAATGAAACAGTTTTATTAACTTCCTTACTATATTATATAAATAATAAATCAAACTTATATGTGTTTTCAGTGCAATGTCTCCCGATGAATCAGAGATGCAGGTTCTTGATAAAAATCAGAATGAACCAGATGGGGGCTTTGAACCAGTGGAGGATGATGAAACACCACATCGTGAGGATCAGAACATGAACCAGTCAGATCCATGGAACACGAACCAGTCAGATGAAGATGAACAGAAGTCACAGGTCTCAAACATTGATTCTGATATGTGGTTAAGATGTAAAGAGTTGTGATCATTGTGAATTGGGTAATGAATCAATTTGAAATTTATTAAGACAATGGGTTTATTGAGTCAGATATGTTTCCTAAAAAAAAATCAGAACATAGGTTTATTGACATGTTGCTTTATAAAAATGATATATCCCTAGGAAATGTGATAGTCTAAGAGTTTAAAAATGCACAATCACAACAACACTTGTAGAGTCTAAATAATGATATGATACGCATAAAATATGATAAAAGAATAGGAGAATTTTTTAGACCATGCAAAGTTAATTACTTGGTTCTCAGGCCTTTTTTCAAGAAATATGATGAGGGAGGGAGGCATTTTTTTCTTTTTTATTGCCCCCAAAACATGATGAGGCAGCTTTTTACATTGTACAAAACCTCAAAAAATGATGAGGGAGGTGATTTGGTGTTTATATTTTATTGATTTAGCAATAAAAAGGGTCAGTGAGGCACCCTTGAAAGAGATGAGGGAGGGCCTGAGAACCAAGAAATAAATTTTTTTTGCCTTAGCTGTAGCTCAATCATGACATAAGACTTTAGTATTAAATTGAAAAAAATGTTTACTAGACTGGTAATATGTTTAGCTAGCCTGGCCAAAATTGGGAAAAATACATGTGTAGTACAATTATTAGAGTATTTGGTTTGAGGGGCTGGCTTACATCTTTGATTCCATATTTAGACCTTCATATTTTTTAAAAGGGGAGGGGTATCATATGGGAAGGACCATTTGACTTTTTAAAGGGAATTGAGTTTACAAAATAAAGTAACCTACTAAGCTAGCCTGCTCAAAGCTAATTTTAAAATAATTTTTTTCTTTATATAGGAATCTTACCAGTGTGTTGTCTGTGAGTCATCATTCCATCAACCGTCTGACCTTGAACTTCACATCAGGGATCATCTAGGTGGAACTCCGTTTCATTGTGAAGTCTGCGGAAAAAATCTGGCATCAAGGAAGACGTTGTATAAACACAAGTTAACACACAAAAATAAGTCAACCAAAATAGCCAGACCACAGAGAGAGATTTCTCCAAAAGTGACAAGAAGAAGAGGTAGAACAAGGAAATCTTTTACGTGTGAAGTCTGCAAGGAAGAGTTTCGTCAGAGCGAAAAGCTCTCAGAACATTTGAGGACACATACAAGTGATAAGCTGTTTAGGTGTGGAGTGTGTACAAAAACCTTCCTAACTGTGATTTCTCTATCCCTTCACCTGAGAACTCATTCCGGGCTCAGGCCATACACGTGTGACCTCTGCGGGAAGACCTTCGCTAGGATAGGTACGCTTCAAGGTCACATGAGGACCCACTCAGGTGACCGGCCTCATGGCTGCGAAACCTGTGGGAAAAGATTCGCAGAACGTTCAACTTTATATAAACACAGAATGACCCATAGGGATCACTTTAAATGTACAGAATGCAGTTTGGAATTCACATCCTTTAATGGACTCAAACGTCATCGAGCAACCCATAATGTGAGCCAGGCAAAGAGTGTGAAGGAAATTGGAGGAATTTGTGAAATTTGTGGAAAAACCTTTTCGAAGCGACAAGTATTAGAGAGACATATGTCAACACACCTACCTGTAGGAGAGAAGCCTTATACTTGTGAGATCTGTGGTAAAGCGTTGGCGTGTTCATCATCACTGCAGGCACACAGAAGAATCCATACTGGAGAGAAACCGTACACCTGTAAGGTGTGTGGGCAGAGGTTCCGTTGTCGTTTATCTGTGAGACTTCACTTGGCCAAGCATGCAGGGGTTAAACCCTATAAGTGTAACTTGTGTCAGAAATCCTTTTCTGGACCCACAGGTCTAAAGCACCACAGAAATGTTCACTCCGGTTACAGGCCCTATCGGTGTGAAGTGTGCGGGAGGGAATTTCACAGGAAAAATGTTTTAAAGGATCACATGATAACTCACACCAATGACAGACCTTATCAATGTGATCACTGTGACAAGGCATTTAAAGACCCCCCTTCTCTACGTAGACACAAAATGCTGCACTCACACATAAAACCATTCAGTTGTGAAGCTTGTGGAAAGTCGTTCGCTTTAAGGGCTTTTCTAAACCGTCATAAGAAAATTCACACACAGTCAGGGCAGTCCAGCCCTTCACGATCGTTTATCTGCCATGTGTGTGATAAATCCTTTAAGAGTCTGAGGTATTTAAAAGTCCATATGTTCACACATACAGGGGAAAAGCCACATAAATGTGGAGAATGTGGAAAGGGATTTACAAGAAAATCTTTACTGAAGGACCATCTACGTGTTCATTCAAATGAACGACCATTTCGTTGTAGTGTTTGTGAGAAAACATACAAAGATCCAGGTTCTTTGCGGTCGCACAAGTTGACTCATGAAGAAAATCTATTTCCATGTAAAGACTGTGGAAAATCATTTCCCAGAGCTCATCTTTTGGAAAAACACCAGATTATTCATTCTGAACAAAATCCAAACAAATGCAATGTTTGTGGTAAACCATTTCAAAATCTGAGCTATTTAAAAGTCCATATGCTTACACATTCAGAGGAAAAGCCACATAAATGCAAAGAATGTGGAAAGGGATTTACAAGGACGTCTTTGCTGAAGGACCACCTACGTGTCCACACAAATGAACGACCATTCCGTTGCAGTGTTTGTGATAAAACTTACAAAGACCCTGGATCTCTGCGTTCACACAAGTTGACCCATGCAGAAAAACTATTTCCATGTAAAGACTGTGGAAAATCATTCCCAAGAACTCAACTGTTAGAAAAACACAGCATTATTCACAGTAATGAAACTCCTTACAAATGTCATGTTTGTGATAAAGCATTTAAAACATTGAGCTATTTGAAAGTTCATGCTTTAACACATACAGGGGAAAAGCGACATAAATGTAAAGAATGTGGAAAGGGTTTCACGAGGACATCTTCGCTGAAGGACCATCTGCGTATTCACTCAAACGAACGACCATTCCATTGCGATGTTTGTGACAAAACATACAAAGACCCTAGCTCGCTACGTTCACACAAACGGACTCATGAAAGAAATTCATTTCCTTGTCAAGACTGTGAGAAGTCATTTCCCAGAGCTCATCTTTTGGAAAAACACAGAATCTTCCACACCGACGAAAATCCCTATAAATGTACTCTGTGTAAGAAGTCGTACTCCATCTATAACAGTTATAGGCAGCATATGTTGACACACCCCGAAAACAGGAAGCACGAGTGTGAAGTCTGCAGTAAAAAGTTTGCCCGGAGGGAACATCTAGAAGGACACATGAGGAGGCATTCGGGGGAGAAGCCGTTTAAATGTGAACTGTGTGATAAAGCGTACAGCGACTCCTCCACCCTACGTACACATATGTATACCCATGGGGAAAAGAAGTTTTCCTGCAAACAGTGTGGAAAATTGTTCTCAAAGCCATTTCTTTTAAAGAAACATAGTAGAGTTCACAATTCGGGGGAAGTTTTTGAGTGTGATCAGTGCGAGAAGACATTCAAGTCAAAGAAGTATCTGTCACAACATCGGTTAAATCACACAGAAAACAAACCACATAAATGTCATGTCTGTGGAAAGAGCTTTGTGAGGAAAGATGTGCTGACTGGCCACATGAGGAGTCACTCTAAAGAAAGGGAGTATAAATGTGACGTCTGTACAAAGGCCTATAAGAATCCAGAGTCACTGCGGAATCATAAAAAACAGCACCTTGAAGACTTACAGAAATCCAGAGTCACTGCAGAAACATGAAAAACAGCACTACAAAAGTCTACAAGAAGTTTGACTCACAACTGAGTCCAAGATTTCATAGAAAAAAGCAGCTCGAAGGTCTGCAGGAACCCAGAGTCATTTCAGAATCATAGAAAAAAGCACCACAAAGGCCTATAGGAACCTAGAGTCACTGCGAAATCATAAAAAAAAACACAGAAGCCTCAAAATTTTGAGAGAAGCTTGACTCATTACCCAATCATAGATAACTGTAAATTTTAAAGCCAATAATTGCTGTGAGTTGTTGATTGTTAAAGTTGTTACAACAAAGTCAATATGGGTGTACAATTTTATCTGTATACTGTTAAATCATGATTTTCTTAGTTTTGTGATTCACATCTTGATGCAGTTCAGGTGCAAGAGAGTATAAAAATGAAATTGAATGAAATATTGTTTAAAAATGATGGAATGCAAAGTGATTGATTTGAATTTTTAGCTCACCTGAGCCGAAGGCTCAAGTGAGCTTTTCTGATCAAAATTTGTCCGTTGTCTGTCGTCGTTGTCGTTGTCGTTGTTGTCGTTGTCGTTGTCGTTGTTGTCGTCGTAAACTTTTCACATTTTCATCTTCTTCTCAAGAACCACTGGGCCAATTTCAACCAAACTTGGTACAAAGTATCCTTGGGTGAAGGGAATTTAAGTTTGTTCAAATGAAGGGCCAGGCCCTTTTCCAAGGGGAGATAATTATGAATTAGAGAAAAATTAATGGCATTTTTAAAAAATCTTCTTCTCAAGAACCACTGGGCCAGGAAAGATGAAACTCATGTGGAATCATCCTCAGGTAGTTTAGATTCAAGTTTGTTCAAATCATGACCCCCGGGGGTAGGGTGGGGCCAAAATGGCCGATCAAAGTTTTACATAGGAATATATAGGAAAAATCTTTAAAAATCTTCTTCTCAATAACCACTGTGCCAGGAAAGATGAAACTCATTTGGGATCATCCTCAGGTAGTGTAGATTCAAATTTGTTCAAATCATGACCCCCGGGGGTAGGGTGGGGCCAAAATGGCCGATCAAAGTTTTACATAGGAATATATAGGGAAAATCTTTAAAAATCTTCTACTCAAGAACCTTTGGGTCAGGAAAGATGAAACTCATGTGGAATCATCCTCAGGTAGTGTAGATTCCAGTTTGTTCAAATCATGACCCCCGGGGGTAGGGTGGGGCCAAAATGGTGGATCAAAGTTTTACATAGGAACATATAGGGAAACCTTTTAAAATCTTCTTTTCAAGTACTTCAAAGCCAGGCTTCGTTATATTTATATGGAATCATCCTCAGGTAGTGTAGATTCAAGTTTGTTCAAATCATGACCCCCTGGGGGGTGTAAAATTCAAGCGCCCCCCACCCCAAGTACTTTCAGTTCTGATCTGATCTGTGTTTTTTCCTAGCCGATATGCTCAGGTGAGCGATGTGGCCCCTGGGCCTCTTGTAATTTGATATGACAGAATGTTGTATAACCATGATAACAGGAAAGGAATGCAGTGTAAATGTAACGAGAACCTTTTCAGCACAACAAAGTGAACAAACAACACTGGCTGTTGTGTTATAATTCTTATTTGTCTTTTAATATGTTTAAACTTATGTGTGATGATTGAAAATATGAATAGGAGATTGCGTGGTAGAAAACCTTGAAAATGTTTTGAAAATCTGTCTTCAAGTGATGAAAGCAGATATAGTAGTGTACATAATATTTTCTGGTATTTGATTGTAACAAGGATAAAATTTTTCAGGAAGTAAAAGACTTGACACATCATATTCATGTCAATTTACAGGCTTAAGCCACCAAGTTCTTTTTAATATGTTTTAAAATGGAATATATTGTGTTTTTATTTAGAGAAATACTGATTTCATTCCATTTTCATATCGTTGAAATTTATTTTCAAAATAAATTTTGTTATGAAAATCAGAAAGAAAACTTTTAGCTGAAACAGACGAAGTTCCAGGGTTGGGTTTTGGGGTTGTGGGATTCATTGGTTGTTGTTTTTAACACCGAGTCGGCAATATTTCATCCATGTTTCGGCGATGTGGGGGTGGGGGTGGAGGGAGACTATATATAGAGCATCTTCATCGACGTCAGCATCCCATGTTTGTTTCCATAGCAATCTTATGTATGTTTTTACTGGTGCTCGAAATACTTCAGCTTCATTTATTCGTTATTCAAAGTATTGCAGCGAAATGTACACAAGGTCATCTTTAAGAAAATTGTTTGGTTGCCCTCTCCTGAACGACTGAGTAAAAAGGTTCTACTCAAACCTTTTTTACATCCCAAGACACAATATTGTATTTCTCTTATCCCGTCAACAAGCTAGTATATTTAAATTTTCTGGAAAAAAAAAAGATTTTCCCACCTAATTATCTACCTACCGACCCAATAATTTTAACTTGAGTCTGTAGAGGGCATGCAAACATTATTGTAAAGATAGCCTGATCCAACCGTATGAGAACTATATTGTAAAACACAAACATATGAACAGACAAAACAAGAGAGCGAAGGAAATACATTGTAATTTTTTTCAAGTAGAGTCGAATAATTTTTTTTAACGTTTCATTTCATTGGATAAAAAAATTATCTAAATTGTATAACCTGGGTTGCCTACGTCACAATGACATACCGGTAGTGGCGGTACGTCAAGAACGTATCAATCCTCTTGACATTACGTTTAAAATATGAACAATTGAAAGACATTTTTAAGAAAGAAAGTTTTGTCTTGTTTTCTAGGATACTTAATGATTGAAAGGTCATTTTTAGGTCACCTGAGTAACTCAGGTGACCTATTGCTATCCATTTTCGTCCGTCATCGTGCGTCATGTGTCGTGTGTTAACATTTGAACATTTTCAGCTTCTTCTCTGAAACTACTGAACCATTTTTAACCAAATTTGGTATACAGCATGTATGGGTGAAGGGGAACAAAATTTTTGAATTTTGTGATCCCCGCCCCCCTGAGGCATGAGGGGTGGGGCCAAAACCACTAAAATTATTGCAATCTTTGAAAATCTTCTTTACTCCTGGACATCAAGCAGGCAAACTGTTGGCATGAATGTAATGAGCATTGAGTCCTCTACCAAAATTGTGAAATTCATGGCCCGAGGGTGAGGGGTTCTAGTGCTAGGGTGGTGCTATATAGATTATATAGTGAAACTGTAAGATTTCTTTGAAAATCTTCTCTGCTCCGGGGTATTAAGTGAACTAATGAAGTACATAGTTATAATGAGCAAGAGTGCCTCTTCCAAAATTATAAATTTTATGGCCCAAGGGTCAGGGGTTCTGGTGTTAGGGTGGGGCTATATTGATTACTTAGTGAAAATACATTAATTCTTTGAAAATCTTTTTCTCTGCTCCTGGGTATTAGATAAACTAACCAAGCACACAGTTATGATGAGCAAGAGTGCCTCTTTCAAAATTCTGAATTTTATGGCCCCAGGGTCAGGGGTTCTGGTGTTAGGGTGGGGCTCTATTGATTATATAGTGAAAATACATTAATCCTTTGAAAATCTTTTCCTTTGCTCCGGGGTTTTATGCCAATGATCCACGTATATATACTTATGATGAAGAAAGGTGCATTTAGCGAAATGGTCTGAAAATAAATTAATGCTTTGAAATCTGCTCTTTGGTATTAATCAACCATTTTATGATAAAATTTGCAAAATTGTGAAATATGTGGCCCCAGGGTCAGTGGTTCCTTTGGGGTGAGGTGCACAACTGGTTATACAGTGGGAGTGCATTTTCTCTTTGTTACTCTGATCTACCTCTGGGTATTAAGTAAATAGAGTAAGCATGCTAAGTCTATAATTATCATGATAAGCAATGGTGCCTCTTTCAGAATTGTGAATTGCGAATTTCGTGGCCTCTGGTTTAAAACACGGACCAAATTTAATTGTTTGAAAGTTGTTACATGATACTCAGGTGACCTATAAGGACCGTGGGCCTCTTGTTATAAACCGCTTTGCGGTTTACAAAGCGTAAACTGCCCCAACCCAGGTTATACAGTATACCTTGGGTTACTATTAATGTATGTAATATATGAAATGATATGGATAACATAGACATATAAACTAATTAAAAGAATACACAATAGGTGAAACTTTTCAGGAAATAATGAATAAGGAACAAAGTACATTGTATAGTTCTTTGCGTCATTTTGCTTATTTGGTTGTAATTAGTGGATATCATGCGGTAAGGGTCGGCGATTGCGGTAACCAAACATAACCGCGACTGATATAACTCAATCTTAGGAGAGAAAACTTTTGAAACTTAAAATTTTCATCCATCTTACTTATTGGTATGTTTGTGAAAAATAACTCTAAAAATGTTGAGTTTCAAAATAATTACTTTTTTTTTTACTAGACCGAAAACCTTTCTAAAACAATAAACTAAAAATATTTATAAAATATAATTCCGTACGTCTTACAATTTATTAGTAACAATGCATTTCCCTCGTCACCGTAAATTAACGCCAATTTAAGAATCAATAGATTAAGATCGCTTTATAATGTTAGTTGCTAAAAATGGAAAATTAGGTTGAAAATTAATATTTCATAAAAGGGCATTTATTCAAAGTTCACGACCAATTCACTCCTGTAAATAGCTTACAATTTGTACATCATGAGCATTAACCGTAGATGGGTTCAAATTTTTGTTATTGGTTGTAATATAATGCAATAATATTAATAAGATAACAATTTTCATTGTAGTAAAATGCTAGTAAATATATCGTGTATTAACAATCATATTCAGAGCAATGCCCCAAAAATGATCAAATCTGACTGCCGTGTTTGTAAACATGGTATGCCTACATGCATTCAGCTTTAGAAAAAGAGTTATATAAACAATATTAAAGTAATATACGCCGTATGGATGCCGATTTGTATGTGAAACAAAATGATTAAATGATTTGAAACACGTAAAGTGTAATGAAAAAATAATATTTCCACAAAATTTAACTATAAAACTCGTTGTAATAACAGAACAATAAAGCAATATCTGCAAT